GTGTATAAGAGACAGGTCATAGACTGATACTTTAATTCATGTTTTTATTAAAAAAAAAGTTTTGGTGGAAGTTCTTAACTGAAGCTAATTCCTGCTGATGTTGGTAGGTGCGGCCTGTGGTGGAAACTGGCTATGAAAATGTGCTACTTGTGAGGTTGTTGTTGGAGATGAGAGTGCTTTCCATTTGAAAGTCCTTGGTGGGTATATATGACCATGACTTTGACTTGAAAATGTGTTCTGAATTCTGATATGGAAGCACTTAGATCTGATGGTGCTTTATGTGTTATTGAGCAACTGGAGCAGTGCCACTCTGAAGTTCTCTTAATTAGCTTAATTATGGCCAAACTGATGGTTGTGTTTCAATTTGCAAGGTTGCAGAGGGACTTACTGTTGAAGGGATATCGGAGAACTGGTCAATGCTAAAACCAGTCATTATGGAAGAATGGGGTGAGAACAGGGATGCCATAGTTGATCTTTTTGGAAAGGTCAGGGATGAATGGATGGATGCAGATTTGGCAACTTGGATAGGAGCAAATAGGTACTTTATCAAGCTTGTTAAGACAATCTACACCTGTAAATTTACCATAAGATAGGCTTGATTAATGAGATCTAAAGGATGGAAGAACTCAAACTAATTACATGCATATTTTGAAAGTGAATGTCCTTTGGAGAATCAAGAATGTCAAGCTTCCTTCATTGTGGTCACGGAATGCTGAATTGTTGATTGATGATGTTTTTACCACAGATTTTATCCAGGAGTTCCTGAAGCACTGAAATTTGCAAGCTCAAGGATATATATAGTCACTACAAAACAGGTGTGACTAGATTTTTTTTTTTTTCTTTTTTTTTGCCTCATTCCCTAATATCTTCAACCAAAAGAAAAAGGGAAAAGAAATCTCTCCCAATAATCACATGGAAAGGATAACATAATGAGAGGTTTACAGATCTGACTCTTCTCATTTTAGTTGTTATTATTAGTGAAATGCTTTTGTTCTTTACATCTCGATTACTCTCCTCTTTCTCTCTCCCATTCAGAGCCGATTTGCAGATGCTTTATTGCAAGAGCTAGCAGGAGTTTCAATACCCCCTGAAAGGATATATGGTTTGGGAACTGGCTTAGTATATTTTATGGAACAAGGAATGATTATTTTTCCTCTAGGTGTACCCACCATGACAGATTTTTTTTATTTATTAACAGACCCAAGGTGGAAGTGTTGAAGCAACTTCAAAAGAGACCAGAGCACCAGGGCCTGAGACTACAGTATGTTCCCTGCTTGCCAATATGATAACATAATCTGATTGTTTAGGTTGTATTTGGTGTAGTGCCTTTTTCTTTCTGGGGCTTTTCAGAAAGCAATTTTTCAGTAGAAGTAGATCCCATTCTTTTTTTAGTTGTTAATGACTGATATTTTAAAGCAAAAGCAAATACCTCTCTTACCTTACCTTTTTTTTTTTTGTTCTTTTTGTTTCTTCAAATGTAAGGATGACACCACAGCTTGAACTTAAGATCTCAACCCAATCTTCTATAATAACCACTAGAGCTAAAGCATAGAACTTAGCTCCTTTCGTATTTATAGCAAAATTTAGGATGAACCTGTTAGAAAAGTAAAAGCCATCGCCAAAGCCTATGCAATCTTAACAAACAAATGTTTTCATATTTATAGCTTCCATATTTGCTTAATACTAACTCCACTCTGTTTTTCACCAGCTTTGTAGAAGATCGACTAGCAACCCTAAAGAATGTCATTAAAGAGCCAGAACTGGACGGATGGAATTTGTATTTAGGTATCCACCATGGCACCATGCCTCTGATTTTAACATGTTTGCCTGTGGCTTTTCGTACCTCGTCTCGTCTCATTTTTATTTTTTGTTGTTTTCTGTTGCGCTATGTTACTAAATGGATAACTTGAAACAGGGGACTGGGGTTACAACACTCAGAGAAAAAGAGAGAGGAAGCAGCAAGCATTTCCAGGATTCATCTACTCCAGCTCGTTGACTTTAGCAAGAAGCTTAAATAATCATTGCCTTCCCTCATTTCGGTATTGATATCCACAACATCTTTTTTTATTACTCACTTTTGATTAAAGCAAGAACATTTGTCTTGCCAGATAATGAGGAACCAATAATTGTGTAATTGAAAGCTTTGCAATTGAAGGTACCAACATTTTCTGGTACTTGGTTCAAGGTCAACAATAACAAAAGAATACTTATGATTCACTTGGATAATTAACTCTAGATAACTCTAAAACCTAAAAAAGATTCTCTTGCATAAAAAACCTCTATATGCCTGAATTTGATTGTGGATTTAATCTGATACACTGATTTAATGGTTTAGTTGCTGATAAACTTCAAGGTTAGATTTGGTTGAAATAGAACTTGTATTTATAAATTAAGCATTTCTAGCAGTCAATAATGGAGACAAATGCGGATAGAAGCTTTTGACATCTAATTAACTTGCAAGTATAATTAACTTTCAAATATTTATATGTCAATATCAACAAGACGTGCAAAGGAATGGAGTTTGCAAAGTTGACTATGCGGTGTTATAATTCAGCATAAAATCTTTTAATAATTGCATTCAATCAATCTGTGATCTGGAGCTAGCATGAGCATCTACAATTCTTCTTTCACATGCTCATTATCCTCTTTGGAGCTGGCATCACCTCCTTTCTCTTTCTCGCTTCTAAGCTTCTCAATAACCTCTTCCAAGGGTGGATCTCCCGGTCTTCGAAAGGCTCGATCCCCTATCTTGATCTCATAAGCCTCTGGTTGGCTTAAAATGAACTCCTTCAACTGGAGAGAAAAGAAGACAGTACTAATTGTCATATTCCCAGAATGCAAAAAGTGTTTTGCATGATAGATTATATGTTAAGAGTATAGTTTATTTTATAAATTTAAAAAATAATTTTATTAAAAATATTTTAATAAGTTGATATGATAAATTATACTTTTAATATACAATTTTAACTGTGAAACATGAATCCCTTCTTAGAATTCAACATCTTGAAGCTATAAACTTACTGTACCAAAAAGATCAGCCAGAAAATGTTGAAGACTAGATTAAGGGTGAAATTTCAATGGGCAAAATGAAGGGCTACCTCTTCTATGTCCTGGCCGTTAACCATGTTGAACATGATTGTGCTCATATCTACCCCTGTGAATCTCACCCCTAGTGAACCTGATCTCAGAATTTTGGTCCATTTCATGGCAATCTCACCCACCATGTCCTGAATACCAAAAGAAAAAGAAAAAAAGAAATCACAATCCCAAATCAAAATATCAACCAATGCACTTTTTTAATTCTGAGATCCAAATCAATGTCGAAAAATTGGATCTTAAAACAAAGATCCCTTGTACAAGAGTGTTGGGTTCTGAATTCCAGAATAAATTACCGAGGAGCGCCGGATACCCAGTTGTAGTTTAACGAAGCCGAACACGGGACCAGTGTTGCGCTTCATGAACTCGGCCTGAATCTGCGATAGCTCCATCTTGTCCAGCTCGGAGGGTAAGAGATCCAAGTCAGGAGTGGAGGATTTCTTCTTGCCCCATTCCTTCCACGCCTCGTCTTCCTCATCGTCGACAACGTCATCAAGGTCGTCGGTGATTTCGATCCTCCGCTTGCCTCCCTCCACTAATCGACCGAAATCGCCATTTGGTGAAAAGACGGAAAGCAGAATTAGTAGGAGGAGAAGAAGAAAGAAAGGAAATGGGAAGCGAACGTTCCTCATGATCTTTCTGTGAGGGAAAGGCATTCAACAGGAGCACTTGGTAATTATTTATATACATTTTTGGAAAAGAATTATTTGTCTTAAAGTTTGTTATTTCATAATTTGGACTGCTAAACAAAAAGAAAAGAAGATGATTGATTTTAATTTTTTATGCAAATTTTTTCATATAATTTAAATTTTAAGCAAAATAGTTGGATAAAGAACTTATAAGTATATGTAGAAATTAAATATTGAATCTTGAACTTATAACTAAAAAAAAATAAAAGTACAAACAATTTTACTATTAAATTATTGATTGATGATAAAAGCATACTTATTCCATAATTTAAGTTATGCATAACCATTTAATAATTTTTTTAATAATTCTCTTTCGCCATTTTTTTTTTTTAAAGAAGAGAACTCTCTTTTTCCTGATCTTTGATGGGCCAAATTACACGGTCGTAGACGGAGCTGTAAATGAGCCCAACCCAAGAGTTTTAGGTGATGGGCTGAAGATAAGCCTTTAGCCTTCAGCCTTATGCTATGAGTATTGAGTTCTTGTCTGTTCTACTGTTGGATTTGGCCCAATTGCATGCCAACTGCCCAACACTTTGGACTGACCTATTCCAAAAAAAAAGGTGATCTCATTGTGAAGCTGTTACGAAAAGAATGAATTATTGAAATTTTATTTTTTTTAAAACTGTTAAGTGTGAAATTTGAATATTATATTTATCAAATTTAATATAAGAAATTCTTTATAAAAAAATAATTATTAGATTATGAGGGTATTTTTAATTATTAAGATTTATTTAATTGTAATAACATTATAAATTTTGATACCAACATCAAGCTGACCTTTTCCCCATAGATTATTCCGCCCAAAATGTTTTGTTAGCAAGTATTTAGATTTCCTTTTTTTTGGTAATAAAAAGTAAATAGATTTCAGTTGGTGTTTGTAAATTCCTGGATTTTTAGATTTAATGGACCTCATTCCTACGCTTCTTACACAACAATTTGTTTACAATAAAAATTAAAGTTATATCCAGTTTAAATTTTTAGATAAGTAAAGATATATTAAAAAAGATAATTATCTTTATTATATATTTTTTAAAATTATATTTTAAATATAAAAATATAAATGTGATTAATATAGAATATAGAGTATATAATTGAGGCCCAAAGGAACATCCTCAAAACTTTGGGAAAAAAAAAACCCTCAAATTGTTTTTTCTTTTTTATTGGTTGCACAGCGAGAAATACCTTTTTTGATCTCTTATCTCACTTCACTCGTATACTATGTGATTCAAATTTAAGATCTCTTACTTCCGTTGAAAGGAGATAATTATTAAATTATTTAGATAATTAATAACCTTCAAATTATTATAATATCTACCTTTGAGTTTTGACCATTCGAAGAGGCAACTACTTATCAGCATATTTTCTACCTAAACGAACTCAGCTGCCAAGGAAAAAAAAAAGGGGGGTAATAACAGCTATCTTAAGGCGCCAAGCATCGATAGACTACTTCCCCATACACCTCAATTATGTTGCGGATTTTCTGTAAACAAAGTTAATGTTCATTTCCTCTTATTTTTCTAACTCATGTTTTTGTTGCGATGTAGCAGGAGTTTCATTTGTTCAAATTTTATATCTTTAATCTTTATATATATATATATATATAACAAAAAAAATATTTACAAAATGCAATTATACTTTTCTAACTCATGTTTTTGTTGCGATGTAGCAGGAGTTTCATTTGTTCAAATTTTATATCTTTAATCTTTATATATATATATATATATATATATAACAAAAAAAATATTTACAAAATGCAATTATACTTATTTTCATTCATGTAAAAGTAGTAGTAGTATTCATAGAAGAATCTTGAACCAAAATATTCTACAGTGGAATATTAGGCATATGCACCCATTAAAATGGACAACTATCTCAATCTCAAGAAAGCTAAATTGCCACCTTAATAACTGATCGTGAACTATGGTGAATATGATACCTTAGAAATCTACTAAGTGTATATATATATATATATTTGTTTTGTTTTTTCCACACATTTCACTTGAGGTAAAAGGAAGCTTGTTTCTGCTTACTACAGCTGAACTGAACAAAACTGAATTGGATTACACCATATTGTGTGGTTTTGGGATATGGATCTCATTCAAAAGTTCCTGCCTTTGATAACAATATTCACGGGCTTGAAATCCGTACTAAGATACGAACTGAAATTCTACATTGTTCTACTCCGAATAACTCTGGTTGTGTAATGTAGGTCGGGATATCATCTGGGCCAACACCGTTGCAGCACTCAGACTTGCAAGAATGCCTGAGAACAAAGGCAAACTGACCGTAGTAAGCACGATTTGCCCACCAACTCTCCTTGGAGCAAACCTTTAATATGTGTTGCTAGCATTACTTTTCTTTGATAATTCTAAGCAAGACATCTCTTATTGGTTCAAATGTCAGACGGTTAATGCAAGCTTCGGAGAGTGATGCTTATCATCCGTCCTGTTTGAGGAGCTGAGGAGAGAAGCCGAAAACATGCAACCAGTTCCGGTTGACTAATGCCTGATATCAATGTTATTACATTGTGAAACCATGTTTCTTTGACCCAATTGGTTTTCCTTGGCTTGCTTGATCATACCCATAGCCATAGCTGGTGCTTTTCTTTTGCAAAACTGATTAATATGTTGCTTAATGCATTTTTTTTGCTAATTTAAGAATGTCTAACATTCATCCAAATACCAAAGCAAATATCATGTCCTTGAGATCACTCTCGTCTAAGACCAATAGACCATGTTGAATTTGAATTAACAGGGCACCGTGGTAGCTGTTAAAAACAATAGTTTTGTGTGTACTCTATGGAACTGAACGTGCACTCCATTGATGAGATAATATGAATCAAGACTTAGTTTCAACTTATTCAGTCAGTGTGATAAGATAATTTGAGTAATCTTGTCTTTGCAGCTCCGTTGTTTCGCCTACAATTTTGCATTATAGGCCAAAAAATCAACTGCTATTTCCCCCCCTAAAATTTGTAGCCAATGAAAGGAGACAACAGAACAGAAACAAATGTATCAGACATTTACAGACATGAAAATTCGTTTTATTTTCAAACAAGTCACCATATACGGAGTAGCCACGCTCCGTTCTCCTGGGACCAAGGATATGCATGTTTTTGTGGAAAATAACCAAACAGCACCCAAGTTTCTCCCCTATAAAATCCCTGTTTCTATGAGACCCAGTAAACATAATCACCAAGAACACTAGCTTCCAGGATTCAAGATGATGGCATTAAAATCGGAAGCAGTGTTAGCTTTCTCTTGCTTAATTATCCCTTTTTTCTTTTTCCAGAGCTGATGCCGGAGGGATTGCTATCTACTGGGGACAGAGCAATCTCGAGGACGAAGGGACCTTAGCAGACACTTGTGACACCGGTAACTATAATTTCGTCAACATAGCTTTTCTCCCAAAATTTGGCAATGGGCAGACACCCATGATGAACCTCGCTGGCCACTGCAACACTACCAGCAGCCGTTGCTCTTACTTGAGCTACCAGATCAAATCTTGTCAAGAGGACGGAATCAAAGTCTTTCTTTCCATTGGTGGAAGCACCGGAAGCTACAACCTCTCTTCAGCAAACAACGCCAAGCAGGTTGCTGATTATCTCTGGAATAACTTCCTCGGAGGACAATCAAGTAATCGCCCGCTCGTAGATGCTGTTCTCAACGGAATTGACGTCGACATCGACGGAAGGACGAACCAGCACTGGGATGATCTAGCAAGTTACCTCACCCGATACAGAAATCAGGGGAAGAAAGTGTACCTGACGGCCGCGCCTCACTGCCCTTTCCCTGACCCCTCGCTAGGAGATGCCCTGAAAACCGGTCTTTTTGACTACGTCTGGATCAAATTCTACAACAACCCATCATGCGAGTACAAATTCGGAAACACTGCAAATTTAGTGGATGCCTGGAATCAATGGACTCAAAATATTCCGGTAAGTAAATTTTTCTTGGGACTTCCGGTAGCCCCAGACGCGGCCCTAAGTGGGTTCATCTCCATACACAATCTCACGTCTGAAGTGCTTCCCGCCATCAAAGGTGCTCCTAAGTATGGAGGCGTGATGCTGTGGTCAAGATACTCCGATTAACAATATGACTATGGCGACAGTTTCCAACCTGAATACAGTTCCTCCATTAAAGA